AATGCTTATGGGTCAGATAGTAGGTTTGCATTTCAAGTAATGTCGTAGTTTAGATTGTACCCTGCATTGTCATCGTTCGACTCCCGCTGGGTGTGTTGATAAGACCAGGCGAGGTCGAAACTGCAGTCCATCCTGGATGAAAAAAGCAAGGCTATGTGAAATTCAATGGAAACGCCAGCTCCACTCATATCATTGTTGGAAAATTCAACCACCAGCTTTTTCATCACCTGAAACGAAATAGGGTGAACAGCTTACTTACTATCACTGCTTGTCTAAGTAAATAACTCCTTCGTATTCATATGTGTATTCGTAATTGAGATAGCGCCAAGTTATATTCGTAATAATAAAAAAAGCATATTGTTGGTCTGACCTCGTTTTTGCAACTTATTCTGAGCGATAATTCGATCTTGTTGAGCGTTTCTAGTCCTGCGTTCTCTGCTATAGTATTCATTCTGCCTCTTCTTCGCTTCGAACAAGTTACGAAGACGAGGTCAAATCAGCACTATACAGCTAAGGAAGACTGCGACCAAGCATAAGGGCTCGCTATCTTTGTCTTAACATCTACGATAGGAAAGTATATTTTAACATTAGGCTCTCTTGGGCTTGGCTCTTCTCGAATTCTGACACTTGAATGACTCTTATTTCTTTTTGAATGCTTTTTTATGGGTCATCTGATAGCCATCCATATACGGACACACGTATTTCAAACCTTTTATTTGGGGCTTATTTTTTGTCAATCTTTGTGTCTATGAGATTTTCCCATATTTTGGGAAAGCAAGGCTATGTGAAATTCATTGTAAACGTCAGCTCTACTCATTTCATTGTGGGAAAATTCAACTGCCAGTCCTTCATCGTTTTTAATGAGCTAAGGTGAACATAAAACTTATATATGATTCACTGGTAGTTTGAAATCCCACTCAGAATGAAATATAAACCTTGCGCTTGTTTTAATTTATTTTTCAATCCAGGAAAAAATCGTATTCCAACTCCTCTCTGCCTGCCACTTCACTACATCTTAATGACCTTCTTGCCAAACTTCAAACAGCCTATCAGCTGACCACGAAGGGGAAGTTCTCAGAAGCTATAGATGGATTTCGCAACATCCTAATCTCCATACCTCTGTTAGTTGTTGAGAGTAATGAGGAAGAGGCGGAGTCTAAAAGTCTGATAGGAGTTTGCAAGGAGTATATTGTTGGTCTCAGCATGGAACTGGTCAGAAAGGCTATGCCCAAGGAGGAGCTGGCAGATCAAGTATGTTTTTACATTATTTGTCTAGGCTTTTTGTTCAACTATAAATCTTGAAGTTTACTTGAAACTTTCTGTTGCGTAGCTAACTTCAATTTTAAAAATTGCGGCATGAATTTTATATATGTTAATAATCTACTTTATGCGTTGAAATGATTAGCTGAATTGACTTATTGTTTGCCTAAATTTTTAATTAGTTCATCTTTTCAGATATTTAAGG